AAGTGTTTTCACCCTGCCACACAAGCTGGTCCCACATGCGATTGCACCACTTGGCGTCATCTTGGAACTTTTGGGTCAGGGTCTGCTGCATATCACTCAGGACGGTCATGTGCTCCCTCCAGTGCATGCGGCTCCCCTGGCTTCAGGCAGCTGCCTCTGATGGCGTGGATCGTTCCTCAGAAACAGCTGGTCTGGCTGTGTAGGAAAAGAGGGAGAGGCGGTCAGTCATCCATCCAAGCAGACACTGTCCCAGAGACCATGCCCTCCTCCGTGAGCAAGGCCCGTGAGCAAGGCTACGCGTGGCCTGCACAGCAGGCCCTGCCTCACAGGGGCCTCGAGGTTCCCAGGGGACCATACTGCCTGCTTCCTCCCCTGCATGGACAAGCAGGCCAGGGAAGTGTCTGGCCACTGTGGGATCCCGTGGGTGGGAAAGGGGCCTGGAGCGGCCTGGCTCTCCCTGGGGCCAACACATACATCCGCACCTGGGAGCACTGTCCGCGGAAGCAGGTGGTGCCTTGTGCATGTGGGCATGGCCATGTGCTATCTACAACACTCCTTGGTCTGAGTGGGGTCGTGCGTGTGCCCTTGTATCCAGCTTGCTTCCAGTGGTGGCTGAAAGGGTAAGGACATCCCTCCCAGGGGTCAGACGTGTGGGGCCTTCCCCTAGCCTGTGAGCAACAGCCTGTGTTTGCTCCGGGGCTGGCTCCTGAGACCGCGTGGCGCACACTGCTGCTGCACATGCTTGCATGTGCACGGACAGCAGCACGCTGTCCAGGCCGAGCATGCCACGCGACGATCGCACCCCATCCCCTTGGCGCCCGCCTCCCCTGCCCTGTGTGTGTGACACACTGAGAGCACTCGCCTGATGATCCCTCCCTGGGGTCAGATGATGCCTGGGAGATGTCCAGGGCCTGCAGTATTGGCTCTATTGTGTGGGTGACCACGCTACCAGTGTTGTTGTCTTCCTTCTCCTGCAGCGGCTGTTGCTCCTCATCCTCCTCCTCCTCCTCCTCCAGGAGCTCCGGCCAGGTGATCATGGATATCTCCAAGCCCGAATCCACCAGTACTGATAGGGAAAGGACTTCCCTAGCCCCCCAGTATCTGGTGCAGCTCTCTATAGTATGGGCAGGAGTGGGGTCCCGCTCTGGAGCAAGAGCTGTGCTCCCTGGCCCGGGTGTACCCTTTCCGGAGCTCCTTTACCTTGCTCCGGACTTGGTCAAGAGTGTGGGGGTGGTGTCCCCTCTGGACACATAAATGCCCATAAATGTCCACATTTCTGTGGCTGGTGTGGAGATCCTTCAAGGTCTCCTCCTGCCCCCGCAGCTCCAGGCAGGTCAGGATCTCCACCCCAGATCAGGAGGGTGCCCAGCATTTGGTGCTCCTGGGTGGGTCCTGGGACCCCTGGTGCTGTTCCCTGGAAGGACAGGAGGCTCTCGGGGAGCTTCTGGCTGTGCCATGGGTCAGCAGGTCTGTGGCAGAGAGAGCTGCATGATCAGGGTGCTGCTCCAGGGTCATCTTCCTGCCACAAGGCTTGTGCAGGGTGCCTACAGCTTTAAGAGCTTGCAGGAAACAGGAACTATAGAACTGTGATTGGTTGGGACGCAGTGTCCACCACGGCCTATGTGCTTTTTCCTGGAGGCCTCTTTTTTCGAAAGAACTCCCTCTTCTACGTCCACACACACCTGTTTCTGAAAAAGCTCTTTCGGAAAAGGAGTTCTTCCTCGTAGAATGAGGTTTACCAATGTCAGACAAACCCCTGTGTTCTTTCAAAAGAATGCAATTGCAGTGTGGACGTAGGTGAAGTTTTTTCAGAAAAATGGCCGTTTTTCCAAAAAAACCTCTGCAGTCTAGATGCACCCCTGGTGTGGTTCACTGTCCCATGCAGTGGCACCTAGACCACAGCAACAGATAAGATCAATAGCCCTCTACAGCTTAAGCTAAGAGCCAGATCAGGTTTTACAGCTCAAGCCGTAGCAGCTCCTGTACTAAGCTCTAGAGGTCCCAGGATCAAGCCCTCCTGGTGGTGGTTACACTTGGATCCCATGTAGGTGTTTTGTAGCTGCCCTTGTTATTGACATGGGGCAGTAGATTTCAAACTACACTGGTCTGGCTACTAATTGGGTGGGTTCTGTAACTCTCTGGTGTGCCTTATCACTCCTAAAATTGTGCTTTCTCTTACATCAACATTCCTGTTAATGGGTGCACATACTATCTACTATGGGGAATAAGAGAACTCTGTTAGTAGAAATCATCCCAATAAATTGTTTCATTAATAAACTTATTAATAAAAGGCTGATGTTTTCAAGTATATCTAAAGGAATTTTTTTGCCCAAATCCCATTAGAAGTCAATAAGACTTGGGGTGCCTACTTCCCGTTAAGTTACACTGAAGATCTAAACTAAACTGTCTTAACAGATCGGGGGAAAGACATGAAGATCAGGTGACAAGAAAATCAACAAAGTTTGTACGTGTCATCAGTTAGAGATACTTAAATGGGAGAATCCAACTTACTGAATGTAAAATAGAACACAACAGAACCATACTTTTCTCAGTTATACCTGAGCAGCACCACTCAAGTCAATGATTTGAACATGTACTTTGTCCCATTAACAGAAATGAATATATTGACCAATAAAGCTTTTCAAAATCCTTGGCTGTGTCTAGACTGGCCAGTTTTTCCAGAAAATCAGCCGCTTTTCAAGAAAAACTTGCCAGCTGTCTACACTGGCTGCTTGAATTTCCACAAAAGCACTGACTTCCTACTGTAAGAAATCAGTGTTTTTTGCGGAAATACTATGCTGCTCCCATTCGGGCAAAAGTCCTTTTGCGCAAAAGGGCCAGTGTAGACAGCTCAGATTTG